GCCAGTCTCTGCAGAGGGCAGCCAAGCCTGGCATGAGGAACTGTCCTGCCATTGCAATGAAGCTTGCCACCATGGTGACCATAAATCGGTGCCCAGGAGGACAAAGTTCTATTCCTGAAACAAAAGGGAACATGCAAAATTTGAAGGTCAATGCAAGCAATTTTTTTTTTTATGGCACTGGAGCCAAAGTACTCCCGTCAATCACAATTTTTTCCTATTTGATTTTCCAAGAGGATACAATAGTCCTTTAGAAACATTTTGCTCAGTCTTGGGCCCAAAAATATTTTGCTGAAGACTTGTGGCAAATAAAAGCTCCCAAGTGTCCCAAAGATTTAGGGCCCAATCCTAGAAGATGGTGAAGAACATGGTACCAGTGATGCCAAGTAGGGATATTAAATTTCAAGTAATTGTCTAATTGAATAGTCCATGCATTTTGCATCAACTAGGGATGTAATAGTGTAGTTCAGTAACCGATTAATCAATAAGCTAAAAGCTTATAGGTTAATGCTATAGACTACATGCATTCCACACCCACCTCCTCTGCAACCAGTAAATTTTTTAGCAGGCTGGCCAGCAGCCCGGCTCAGCTCTGGCTCATGCTGGGTTTGGGACCTACCCCTGCTGTGGCTCTGCATTTAAAATGTATTAGGAGCCAGATGGGCAGGCAGCCCAGCTCAGTTCCGGACTGTGCTGGGCCCGCACTGCTGCCTCTTTATCAGAGGCAGAAGCATAGGAGAACAAGCAGCCAGTCCACAAGAGAAGCTGGTTTTTAAACTGGCTCCCCTCACAGACTAGCTCCCACCTGGCACCCCACGCTGCTGCTGGTCCCACCTCCAGGGTCTATAGAATAGTCAATTAACTGATAAGAATTCATGAGGTTACTTGACTATTCAGTTAACTAATATTTAACATCCATAGCTATTTGATTAGTCGATAAGGCGCCTCTGCCTTTGAAATTTTCTTCCCATCCCCATAGGGGATCTCACTCAACTTTTAGCAAGAAAGCTTCCCATATGTCTCTCCCTTCCCTCTTCAGTGAAATCCATCATTATTGCCATTTCAGTAAGCTCAGCAGCCGTTGTGACAGTGTTGGTTGACAAAATTCCTTAAAATCCCTGGGCCCTGGAGAGTCACCCACTAAGTCTCAGAAATGAAGCTGGATCTAGCAGAATCACTTTTTTTCAAAATCAACAGAAGTACAGCAATAAAACTGCTTCAGATCATAGAGCCACATCCTAATGTTGATGGATTTTTCTTTTCAGCTAGAACTACGCTGGTACCCTGCAGTCTACACTTCAGGCTTGTCTACATTCACTTCTAGGGGTTAATCATTAGCCATAATAAGGCTGCCAGAAATACTGATTGTGCAGCCCTTAACTGCAAATGGAAACAAATATATGGGCGAGACAAACAATTTTGTCACCATCCCTTTATCAATGATACTTTTCTTTTAGAACTCTTCCAGAGTTATTTTGTTGTTACACTTATTAAATGATGAAGATGCTGGATATGAAAAGCTGGGGAAGGGGAAAAGCAGGAACTAAGATGTCCTTCATCAGAAGCCAAGCTGTATGTGGGATGGGGATTTGAGCAGAACGTTTATCACTTTGTTCCAAGGCTAGCACCACACTACTGCTGGAACTGGAATGTTGCCAACCCATACAAAGGAAAATGCAATGGTAGTGAAGCAGTCAAAAATTTCATTATCCTAGTCATAATCAAACCACAGTTCAGCTTTGGCAGGGGTGAAAATAACCCGAACACACTTACTGTTGCATAAAAAGGCGTTCACAGTTTAATTAGGAAAACAAGATTAAACACACAGCTCCCATCCCATTAATAAGGCATCCTTCCTAGACATAAAGTAGACTGGGATTAACCAATTCCTTTTTTCCCCCCTCAGTGCAGAAGTGTAACAATCTGATTATCATATGACCATAAAACCATTGTTGCTACCACTGTTATATAACTAACAAAACTTATGCTAAGCATGACACATAGCAAGAGAGGGTTAAGCATCCTGAAGGCCAAATGGCCCAAAGAAAACCTTGTAGAGACATGTTAGAAAAAATGTGTAAGTGGCAATTCATACTATTCAGTGCTAGTCAGGCTAGAACTTTAAAATACAAACCTATGTTGCTAAAACAGGGGTGGGGAACTTAAGCCTGCCACCCCTGACTGATAGCTTCTCATTTGCGTGTGGCCCTCCCCCCCCAACCGATTTTTCTGTGGGTCAGTGGGCCCCGAACCCAAACAACGTTCCCCACCCTGTGCTAAAAGTTACAGGCAATACTAATTGTGTGTGTTTACAAAAAGATGTTAACCATGGAAACATGTTAACCTGTCTATTATCACAGCTATTGATGCAGAAGTCAAAAGGGCATTTTTATATGTTTCATTAAATTCTATGATACATTGTTTAATAGATAAATTATCTTTATTAATTACCATGGTGTTTAGGAAACAGAAGGTTCCATCAACAGCCTATTGTTCACCCTGGACTATATGGTCAAGAGGCTTCCAGAATACTCTATCTATAAGATGACCACTGGGTGCCAATCCTGTCATCTCAGATCTGCTTAAGGTTTCATGCAGGGGAAACCTAAGCCATAAGATCTCAGATCTGCTTAAGGTTTCATGTAGAGGAAACCTAAGCCATAATGATCTAGCTCCTAGTCTTAAGATGGTATACTCTAAAAATGATGTTGGACATTGGACTATAACCTATGGTCTAAACTTTAAAAGAACTCTTTACAATTACGAAGCTCACAGTCTTTACTATGAATCTAATCTTAGAACTATACTCATGTCTGACTGTGGGTATATATCTATCTAAATATCTATCTATCTATCTACATATAAATTCTTAGAACTATACTCATGTCTGACTGTGGGTATACATCTATCTAAATATCTATCTATATATAAAAAAATCTTTTAACCAATACTCTCTCTCATTTTCAATAAGTTTTAGTTTTAATAAGAATTGGCTGTTCCTATGTATTTGGGATAAGATTTGAAATATTCACTGACCTGGAAGTAATATGTCCTGTCCTTTGGGATTGGTAGATCTTTGACTTAGGTGTATGGGTGCAAGCCTAAGGTTGGGTTGCTCTAAGGGAATTGTGTCATTGGCTTCTGGGTAACCAGTAGGTATCTTAGAGGCTGTTTTGCCCTGACTTGGTATTGGAATAACCACCAGCTTTGGGAATGGCTGCCCCATTCATTGCAGTTCAGCCTAAGTGACCCCATCTGGCTCCTGAGACCTGGTTACAGGAGATGTCCTCCAAGTTATGTTTTTATAGCTTTCAAGGATACATCTGTTTTGATTTTTAAATCAGACATCACAGTCATTCACACTCCAGTATTCTTTCAGGAAGTGTATGTTGATTTGTTGCTATAGAAACAAACACATTTCATTAGACAGGTGCAAATTCAGCTTTCCAATGGCTGAGCTTAGATTAGTGTCCATTATCAAGAGCTTAGTGTCCATTATGAAAACTTGCAGAGACAAGATCAACTTTTATATCAAGTCAGGAAGATGTGTCAAAATTGTATAACTGCGTTTCTGAGTCAATGATGCACAAAAGACATAATATTCCATTTACAGCAATGACTGACTACATAAACACAGCAAAGAACTTCAGAAAAGAAAGCAGACGCAAAACCATCTCTGGGCTATCCTACGTATGATCAAGTTGTTCCCACTTCCCTAAAGAAGATGAAAAATGGCTGTAGTTACCGGATGACCGTGACTTTCAAGTACCATTAGCAGAAACTCACTGTGTCAAATACAGCATCACTAATGGAAATATACTGCACATTAGATTAGCCTCTCTAGTTCCCAAAGATCTGTGGTACCAGTCTTAAGACACAAGCAGCTTAAAATAGTAGTTTGAGCAAACATCTGCCAGACCAGCATTCTTGACCTTGTCAACAAGGCAGCCTAAGCATTACTGTGTCAAAGAGAAAGGCTCTCATAAAACCACTTTAATACCAGACATTGCGATGCATGTAGGAAGACTCTTGAGCCCCACTGATTTCATATGGTTCCATGCAGCCTCAGACTCTGCCCACACATATCCACTGAAGTCCAACTTACACTTTCATACTATGGATGGAGGAACAGAACCTCTGTTTCTCCCAGTCCATTAAGAGTTTCCCAACCTGTTCCTTTGGTGGTGAAGTGCTATGTAGCCTGTTTTCATTAATTTGAACTAAAGAAAGTCACTATTACATACGCACCCTCCACCTTTTGTTTTTGGCCACACACACTACGTGATACTGTCATAATGGGTCTTTCACCTAAGGAGCAACTCCTAGTGTCCAGTCGTGGTGCTACAGGGATTTTTTTTAACCCCAGAGCCCATTCAGTCAAGGACATCAGTCTGAAGGCACGTAGCCAGGTCACGGCTCAGTCCATTCCCCTTATGGGGATTAGCAGAAAAATCTCATGTCCTTCAAAATGGCCTTCTGGCCTTTACCTGGCATTTGCTGTTCCTGGCTTCTACTATTCTTGACACCAATGTTTCTCCTCTTGGCCTGGAGGAGTTCTGGGTTCTTGTCTGGGTACCCCATTTAAGCAGCTAACGGCCATTCTTTCAGTCCTGTGACTGTTACCTTTTTCCTTGGGCTACTCTCACCTTTAAGTCTCTTATCAATATCTTTACAAGAGAGTTGTAGATTCTGCTGCCCAGGCGCTGACCATGGAATTCCTCACAGCTTCTCCTGGGAACAGCTATGGAAGAATTGCCAAAAAGCCAGTCTTAGCTCTTTGCTGCAGCAGCTACATTGAACTGCTAGCTGTTCTTTGCCCTCTGAATTTCATCCAGTGGTCCTCAAACTTTTTATGTCAGATCTCCCCTCCCCCAAAATGTGATCGGCCCACACATCCCAAGAGCCGGGACTGGAGCTGTGAGCCAGGGACAGGGCTGGGGCTTCTGATTTGTGTTTCTCAGGCTTCTCACTACGGACTAAGATGAGGCAAGCCTTTTGCCAGCTCCTTCAGCCCAGCACCCTTCCCAACTAACCTCCCCACTCAAACTTTTTATGTCAGATCTCCCCTCCCCCAAAATGTGATCGGCCCACACATCCCAAGAGCCGGGACTGGAGCT